CACCCCCAACCCATTCGATAACATTTTATTAAAAGTGATTTTAGAAAGCAAAATGATATTCCCTCGACATATCACATATTTTCATAGTAGAACAGGCTTCATAAGTCTATCAATTGGATTATGTAAGAAGTCCCACCAAAGACGATCTTCCCAAGAACATAAATAGATTGTAATTCAATATTTTAGAGTATGTATAGCAACAATCACAGAAACACAACCACAAGAACGCATGCAGGATTACACTTACCAAATGAAAGGTTATATAGGCAGAAACGGGTCTCCCCAAGACTTAGTACCTCTCCCTGTAGGGAACACACTCTGAGCAAATCTCTCCTTCCCTCATCTGCCGGTCCAATCCTGAGCACAGGCCTTCTTGGCAAAGCTAACTAACAGTCGGGAAATGATCTTGTGTCTTCCCTGTAAGGTCTTTCACAAAGATAAAATATATAGACTGAGGTACAGAAGCGAGTAGAACAAAAATGAACTGCTGTCAGAAAAATCTCCACTACATTAAGGCGAAGTCCCATTTATTGGTGACGGAACCAGTTCTGGAAGTCTGCAGATACCTGAAATGTATTAAAAGAACCATTTTCCTATCCGTCTGATTTGGCAGTGGAGTGCCTCTTAGTGTCCATGGTAACTCCCCTAGAGTGGTTTGGAAATTCATCATGAAAAGGCTTGCACATTAAAATACAATGGAGCAGCCATAGTCCTTAGGTAACGTTCAGTTTCTGAACTTCAAAACAAATTTAAACCATTCTTTACCTTCAGGAACATATTATCAGCGGAATCCACATATAAAAACTAGCCAATTTTTGAAATCCACAGAGATACGATTTTTCAAGTATTACAAAGTATATAGCTTTGTGACAAAGGGTAAAAATATGAGAGTGTGTGGAAGCCTAGTCTCTTGTTTCCTTAAAAAATAAATAAATAAAAATAAAGCCTTCAGAAATGCCTTCTTTTTTATTTTTATTATTTTTTTTAATGTTTTATTTGTTTCTAGGAGAGAGAGAGACAGCGTGAACAGGGGAGGGTCAGAGAGAGAGGGAGTCACAGACTGAAACAGGCTCCAGGCTCCGAGCTGGCAGTCAGCACAGAGCCCGACGCGGGGCTCGAACCCACGAACCGCGAGATCATGACCTAAGCGAAAGTCGGACGCTTAACCGACTAAGCCACCCAGGCGCCCCTGTGTTTTTTATTTTAGATATGTATATCTAAATATACATAAATATATCTAAACATATTTAGATATAAAATATGTTTATTTTATTTTATTTTAAAATTATTTATTTATTTATTTATTTTTAAATTTTTTTAATGTTTATTTTTGATAGAGACAGACAGACAGACTATGATCAGGGTAGGGGCAGAGAGAGAGGGAGACACAGAATCCGAAGCAGGCTCCAGGCTCTGAGCTGCCAGCACAGAATCGGACGCAGGGCTCAAACCCATGAACCTCGAGATCATGACCTAAGCGAAAGTCGGACGCTCAACCGACTAAGCCACCCAGGCGCCCCTGTGTTTTTTATTTTAGATATGTATATCTAAATATACATAAATATATCTAAACATATTTAGATATAAAATATGTTTATTTTATTTTATTTTAAAATTATTTATTTATTTATTTATTTTTAAATTTTTTTAATGTTTATTTTTGATAGAGACAGACAGACAGACTATGATCAGGGTAGGGGCAGAGAGAGAGGGAGACACAGAATCCGAAGCAGGCTCCAGGCTCTGAGCTGCCAGCACAGAATCGGACGCAGGGCTCAAACCCATGAACCTCGAGATCATGACCTGAGCCAAAGTCAGACGCTTAACCGACTGAGCCACCCAGACGCCCCTTTGATTTTTTACTTTCTTAAGTGATCTCTACACCCAATGTGGGGCTCAAACTCACAACCCCAATATCAAGAGTCTCATGCTCTTCCGACTGAGCCAACCAGTCACCCCTAAAGTGGCTGTATTTCTAACTCCAAAAAACTTCCAACGTTTTTTTTGGTTATTCTTTCAGCATTAAGAAGCTAACTAAATTGAAGTAAGGCAAAATTTAATGTAGTGGGTTAAAACTAAAGAAATCTGTCTTGGTTCTCAGGGATAACCCTTCCTTGACAGGTTTCATACTACAATTTGAGAAACTGGTTAAATGCATGGAAATACTTCATTGGTCTGCTTGAAAGCAACTGACCTTTACCCGGCCTGTTAATCGGTGAGTGAAGTCGGTGAGATGTGACTAATCCCAGAGAAACAGCTTTTGAATATACCTTAGTGTGAGTAAAACCTGGCAGGAACTCGGGATGTATTTAGCTGAAATTAAGAATATAAAAATGGTAATCTTCTAGTGGTTTGAAATGCATTCTACATATATACATTTTTAAGTTTATTTGTTTACTTTGAGAGAGAGCTAGCAAAAGCAGGGGTGGGGAGGGAGCAGAGAGAAGGAGAGACAGAACCCCAAGCAGGCTCTAAGCCATCAGCTCACAGCCGGATGTGGGAAACCATCTCACAAACCTTGAGAGCATTACCTGAGCTGAGACCAAGAGTCAGACGCTTCACCAACTGAGCCACCTGGCACCCCTGCATTCTATATTTTTTTTAAAATGGATACTCCTTGGCGCACCTGGGTGGCTCAGTCAGTGAAGCTTCTGACTTCGGCTCAGGTCATGATCTCGTGGTTCATGAGTTCGAGCCCCGCGTCAGGCTCTGTGCTGACAGCTTAGAGCCTAGAGTCTCTTTCAGATTCTGTGTCTCCTTCTCTCTCTCTCTCTGTCCCTCCCCTGCTCGCACTCTGTCTCTCTCTCTGTGTCTCTAAAAAATAAACATTAAAAAAATTTTTTTAAGGTATCTCCGTGTAAATTGGACTTAGTCAACAAAACTATAGGCTCCATACACAATACACTCCCAAAATTTTTAGATGAGGTCAGGAATGTTATGGACTGAATGGGAAGTTTAAAAGAATCAAAATCACATGGACAAGTTAATCACCTGGGAAAATATTTTCAGGAAAATAACCCATGTAAGAGGTGATTTCTGAGTATGTTGATAATTGGAGTAGGGGATTCATAAGTGAGAAACACCCTCATTTAAAAGAACGTGTTCGGGCACCTGGATGGCTCAATAAGATAAGCATCTGACTTTAGCTCAGGTCATGATCTCAGCCTGTGAGTTCGAGCCCCACGTCAGGCTCTGTGCTGACGGCTCAGAGCCTGGAGCCTGCTTCCGATTCTGTGTCTCCCTCTGTCTCTCTCTGCTTGAGCTCTGTCTCTCTTTCAAAAATAAAGAAACATTTAAAATTTTAATTTTTAAAAAATTAAAAAGAAAAAGAAAAGTATTCCTTATTTTCAAAACGTATTGAAGAAATTAGTATCTTACATTGGGGCACCTGGGTGGCTGGGTCAGTTAAGCCTCCAACTCTTGATTTCAGCTTGGGTCATGATCTCATGGTTCATGAGTTCAAACCCCACATCGGGCTCTGAGCTGACAGTATGGAGCCCACTTGGGATTCTCTCTCTCCACCTCTCTCTCTCTCTGCCCCTCCCCCACTTGTGCTGTCTCTCTCTGTAAATAAATAAACTTAAAAAAGAATCTGAGATTGGTACAGCCATTATGAAAGCAATAAGGAAGCTCCTCAAAAACTTTAAAAGAAAACTACCATATGATCCAGCAATCCCCGGTCTGAGTTAATATCCAAAAGAAATAAAATACCATCTCAAAGATGGGACGCCTGGGTGGCTCAGTCGGTTAAGCTTCCGACTTTGGCTCAGGTCATGATCTCACAGCCCATGAGTTCAAGCCCCACGTCGGGCTCCGTGCTGACAGCTCAGAGCCTGGAGCCTGCTTCAGATTCTGTGTCTTCCTCTCTCTCTGCCCTTCTCACAGTCACGCTCTGTTTCTCTCTCAGAAATAAACATTAAAAAAAAATTTTTAAAGTAACCATCTCAAAGAGATAGCTACACACCCATGTTCACTAAAGAATTATTCACAGTAGCCAAGACATGGAAAGAACCTAAATGTTGGTCAATGGATGCATAGATAATCAAAGTGTGATATATATAAAAAATGGAATGTTATTCAAGGATAAAAAAAAAAAAAAAGAAGGAAACTCTGACTTATGCTACTGCATGGATGGGCCTGGAAGACATTATGCTAAGCAAAGTAAGTCAGACACAGAAAGACAAATATTGTGTGATCTTACTTAGAGGTGGAACTTTAAAAAGTTGAAGTCATAGAACCAGTCGGTAGAACAGTGGTGCCAAAGTCTGGGGAGTGGGGGATATTGGGAGATGCTAGTCAAAGGGGTACAGATTTCCAGTTAGAGGATGAGTAATTTCAAGATCTAGTGTACAGTATGGTGACTAGAGTTAACGATGCTACGTGGTATCCTGGAAAGTCGGTAAGTGAGTAGGTCTTAATTAAGTATTCTCGCCACACAGACAAAAACATGACACCTCTACGAAGTGATGGTTGTGCCGGGTAACATCATCGTGGTAATCATCTCACAATGTACATGTATATTAAATCATCATGTTGCACTATCTTTAAAAAAATCACATTGTACAACCTAAATCTATACACTTTTTGTCAATCATACCTTAGTAAAGCTAGAAAAAAATAACTGGTTCTTCTATTTTATGAAAACAAGATCCAGTTGAGTTTTCTCAAATCAGGATATACCCAAGTTTTCATAAAATGTAAGATCCAGTTATATATATATATATATATATATATATATATATATATATATATAACAATCTCTACTTCCAGTGTGGGGCTCAAACTCACCACCCTGAGATCAAGAGTCATATGCTCCACAGACTGAACCAGCCAGGTGCCCCTTCAATGACCCATACAAACTCTGAGAAATAAGCCCAGCACTGACCCAACCAAAGGAGGGACGAGGAGACTGGGAGCACAGGGAAGTGAGGCTTTAATCAACGTTCTTGCAAGAGCAGGTGTCTGACGGACAGGCACACTCGGGGCGGTTCCAGCCGAGAATGTATCTCCTGGTGTGCATGTCCGTCCCCTATACCTCATTGGCTGAGTACGATAGAGGTTACAGCTTTACCGAGACGTTGCCCACGCGTACGTAAGGCAAAAAGTAGTCTGATTGGAACAAATGGACATTCCCTGAGGTGATGCAGAGATTTTCAGTCCCTCCTTTGTTCTTTGCTGCACGCTCATTGCAAAGCCCGAGAAAATAAGCCTGCAAAACTGAGAGGGGAAGAATCAGGAAGTGAAGTGTTCAAGGGTTTGGGACTTCATTATGCGGAGGGGAGACAGGGATCATATATATTTCCTATAGGTTGTAAACCTACTGGTAACTGATAGCACAGCTTTAAAAAAATTTTTTTTTATATTTTTATTTATTTCTAGGAGAGGGAGAGAGAGACAGCGCGAGCAGGGGAGAGTCAGAGAGAGAGGGAGATACAGACTCCGAAACAGGCTCCAGGCTCTGAGCCGGCAGTCAGCACAGAGCCCGATGCGGGGCTCGAACCCACAAACCGCGAGATCATGACCTAAGTGAAAGTCAGACGCTCAACCGACTAGGCCACCCAGGCGCCCCTAAAAAAATTTTTTTAATGCTTATTTTTGAGAGAGAAACACAGACAGAGTGAGAGCAAGGGAGGGAGGGCAGAGAGAGGGAGACACAGAATCTGAAGCAGGCTTCAGGCTCTGAGCTGTCCATACAGAGCCTGACACGGGGATCGAACTCACAAACTGTGAGATCGCGGTCTGAGCCCAAGTGGGAACTTAACCGACTGAGCCACCCAGGTGCCCCTACATAGCACAGCTTTTATTTGGTATTTCTGAAAATGAATCAGCTCTCTCACTGATTCTCACTTTTTCTTATAGATTCACGGTGTTTCTTGTAAATAATAAATAATTCTGATAGATTTCAAATGTCAGTGAGCGATAGACATAACTTTTTAGAAATGTTTCTAATATTTCAAGTGAGGAATGACTTTAAAATAGGTAGAACATTTGGTAATCTTTGATATCGTTATTTCTTTTACATTCTGCAGCCAATTTTGCTTCTTCAAAATATACTCCAAATTCAACCACTTTGCATTGTTCCAAATTACCATCATCTCTCACCTGGATTATTGCAATCGCATACCACTGACCCCTACTTTCTGGCTCCATTCCTGCCCGCGACAATCTTTTCTCAACACAGCAGCCAAAGTGATTCATATTTAAAATATTTTTAAGTTTATTTATATATTTTGAAAGACAGAGAGAGAGAAGAAGGGGCAGAGAGAGAATTCCAAGCAAGCTCTGCATTGACACACTGCAGAGTCCAAGGCTGGGCTCGAACTCACACACCTGACCCAAAATCTAGCCTCCAATGAGCCACCCAGGCGCCCCAGAGTGATTCATATTCAAAACATAAGTCAAATCCATCCCCTTCCTCTGTTCAAACCCCTCCAACTGGCTTTACATTTTCACCAGATAAACAAAACAAAAATTTTATAATGGCTCCTTCAGGGCCACACACAACCCCCCACTTACTACTTTACTCCCCATTCTCCCACACAAACTGAACTAAGGTAGTGAAGTGTAGCAGAATATATCACCCCAAAGTATGCCTCTTGGACATAAGGATTGTTTCTGAGCTGGTGATTTTGAGAAAGAGCAGACACAGGAGAAGCTCTAAAACCAGAGTAGAAGTTACCTTTTTGTACAGGCAATTTACATTTATAGAGGAAATCTCCATTTGCACGTGTGTCTTCCTCTCCTTATCAAGAAGAGAAGAATGACCCTAAATTGTAAGAGAATCTAGCAGCGGAGGAGGCTCTCCCTGAAATCTGCCTAAGGAAACTTACCTTTGTTTGCTGGGTTTTCGTCCAGGGGAACTCCCTGTAACTATTTTTCCCCCCACCCCAACCTCTGTCTTTTGTTTCGCTGACAGTGGTATTTCAGGTGGTGACTTGAGCCATTTTAAGGACTTCCTCAGTTTTTCTGGGTACCTGCGTGTGTGCATGAAGAATACATGTTGATAAGGCTCTGTTTGTTTTCCTCACGTTTATCTGTCTTTTATTACAGGGGTTTTTCCAAGAACTCAGAAGGGCGAAGGGAAAATTATTTTTCCTCCCCTACGGCAGCTGTAAATAATCCACCAGTGTTTAGGGAAAAGGGAAAGCCCGGAAGGAAGTCTTTGCTGGTGAGAAGGGTTGCTAATATTTTGCTATGTTCTAGTGGCAGTGTCCTCATTTACTAGCTAGGTAGTATGGTTATCAAAGTAGGTACACAAAGAGCATTGTACATGTTACTGAGCAACCATGAGGCACGAGAGGAAAGCAATAGCAACATCCGAAAAGCAAGCGTTGCCTATTCTCAAAACCAAAGAATAAGCCCAAGGGACCTTAAGGCTAAATTCAAAAACCGAGAGGTGAAGGTATCGATTTGACATTTTTTAAAGGTGTTGCAGTTTCTTTATTGGTTACTTGCTTCCGCGTTCGCAAACATGAAAACCCAAAGACACCGCATCTCTTTTATTTATTTGCCTTCATTTTTTGATTTGTTAAAATAGTTTATTGTCAAGTTGGTTTCCATAGAACACCCAGTGCTCATCCCCACAAGTGCCCCCCTCCATGCCCGTCACCCCCTTCCCCGCCCTCCCACCCCCATCAGCCCTCAGTTTGTTCTCTTTTAAAACATGGGTTTGGATCCCCGGGCGGCAATTATGGAAAACCCTTTTTGTATTAAAACTGAGAACAAATGGTGAATGTTACTTAATAAAAGTACTTGAGCATGAATAGATTTGTAGTGGAATGGTTAATGAAAGAAGGAAGATAATTGTGATTATTATTATGTGGTATTTTGTATAATAGTAGAGAGACTACAGAATGTTCCCTTCTATTCATTTCCAGAAGGTTCTTAACAAAGAGCTCATATACTCCTAAGAAAACTTCAGAGGTTTTAAAAATGCCTAAGTATATAGCTAGCAGTGCCTCAGTGAAAGTAGATAATTTACCTAATATCTGAATACAAGAGAGCAAGAAACAGGATTCAGCTCAGAAAACGAAGCAGTCATTCACACGAGGGGTAAAGGTCTCTCACTGCATGGTTTTATCCAAAAATGTTGGGCATTTGATATTGCAGTCAAACAATGGGGCAGAATTGAAAATGATTTTCCTATTAAAAACAAATACGTCGCTTTGAAATTTTTAGGAATGAAATTTTTAAAATGCCATGTCTCAAAGGGGGCTTCGGGGATCGATACTGAATTATGAAGCCTGAACCGAAATGCCCAGGAAATAGGATGTCGTGACAGAATTAATTTTCTGATGAAATGTAGCTAAATTTATTTCTGTTCAAATTTTTGCTCAAGAAAAATATTCTAAAGAGTATTGTTTCTCGTGGTCGAATTAATAAAACCAAATTCAACGGAATTAGATTAATAATAAAAGAGCTTTTAATAAAACCAAAAGAACTTTTTTCATGCTTGCCCATGTGGTACTGTTTTGGATTCTAATTTTGAACAATGATCACTCTCCAGTGGCCTCCATACAAAGGTGAATTTGTGTGTTCGTTTACTTGTGTTGTTAACAAAGAGAAATAATAATCTCTGATGACAGGTTTATTGTGATGCTTGATTTTTGTTTTAGATTTTATAAATTGAAGTTTATCACATTGGGCTTGTCTTTTTTCTTTTTTTTTTTTTAATGTCAAGGCTACGTTAGCAGGAGTCTTTTTTTTTTTTTTTTTTTTTTTCAAGTTCATTAACATACAGTGTAGTCCCGGCTTCAGGACTAGATTCCAGTGATTCATCATTTATATGTAACACCTAGTGCTTCATTTTTTATTCCAAGTGAAAAACAGCAAACACCCCCGATTAATCAACTGGAAGTTGTAGTTAAGGAGATAGAGAACATGTAAGATTTCCCATATGTAAGGTCGACTGACCGACAAGAATTTGAATCTCCGATACGTGGACATTTGTATTGTTTCTCTGGGCTTTGTGCATTTTCTGCCTGCGGCTCTGACAGGAGCTCTGTGCCCCGGCCCCGGCCAGGGCTGTCGCTACAGGTCAGGCTACATGTGGAGGGCTCAACAGTTCACCAGCTGCGTGTCAGAGTATGTGGGCTCGAGGGGACCTGCCAGACTATTCCTATTCACCACAGGGGAAAGATGAGGGATCCAAACCCAAAATGCATATTTTCCTGGACGCTTCTCTAGGACGGACCTCAATTACATCTCTTCTCTCTGTCTGAGATGATGTAATGAAACACACGAACGTGCAATCCTAATGAGAAAGAAAAGGCTGGGGCGGGGGGGGGGGAGGGGGGGACGAGGTACCGTGTCCACTGTCATGGAAAGAGAAAAGAAGCAAAGACAATAGCTTTAAACAGATGAGAACATGTGACGCGTGTCGTCCACAAAGAACCTTATCATGACTTTGCGAACGGGTCTGGCCAATATAACTACGAAAGGTCTATTTTTAATGCCGCAGAATAAAAATACAAGGGGTAAGAAAAACAAGTTCAGTTGATTACTTGCCCGATGTCATTGTTTGGATACATTTGTTTTCACCTCCCATTTCTCTGAGGGTAGGTATTTCAAAATGGTAGCAAAATTCTCATCGCAAATTTAAACTGCTTAACTAAGTTTCTAAGGTTTTTTTTAAATTTTTTAAATGTTTCTTTATTTTTGAGACAGAGCGAGAGACAAAAGTACAAGCAGGGCAGGGGCAGAGAGAGGGAGACACAGAATCCGAAGCAGGCTCCAGGCTCTGAGCTGACAGCACGGAGCCCGACACGGGGCTCGAACCCACGAACCGCGAGATCATGACCTAAGCGAAAGTCGGAGGCTTAACCGACTAAGCCACCCAGGTGCCCCTAGTGTCTTTACCTTTAAACCAACACGGTTGGACTGGACCATACTCAGGGCTCTTCTCCACTGTAAAATTCTATCCTTTTTTTTTTTTTTTGTAAATGTTTATTTGTCTCTGAGAAAGAGAGAGAGAGAGAGGAGGAGGGACAGAGAGTGGGGGGGACAGGATCCAAACTGGATTCTGCACTGGGGCGCCTGTGTGGCTCAGTCAGTAAAGTGTCCAACTTTGGCTCAGGTCATGATCTCAC